AGGTCATGATCCCAGGGTCCTGGGTTCGAGCCCCGCATCAGGCTCCCTGCTCGGCGGGGAACCTGCTTCTCCCTCTCCACTCCCCCTGCTTGTGTCCCTGCTCTCGCTAGGTCTCTGTCAAATAAATAAATAAAATCTTTTTTTAAAAAAAGATCTTTGAATCATCTTTAATCAAGATTTTTTCTTATAATTTTAAGATTTCTTTGTATATTTTGCATAACAACTCTTTATCAAATGTGACTTTTGAAAATATTCTCTCCTAGTCTGTGGCGTGTTGTTTCATTCTCTCGAGATTGTCTTTTACAGAGCAGAATTTTAAAATTTTTGTGAAGCCCAGTGTATCAGTTCTTTCTTTCCTGGACAGTGCCTTTGGTGTGGTATGTCCTTGCTACACCTAAGGTCACCTAAGTGTTCTATATGATCTTCTAGGAGTTTTATACTGTGGCATTTTACATTTGGGTCTGTGAGCCATGTTAAGTTCATTTTCGTGAAGGATCCAGGTCCACGTCCAAATTCTTTTTCTTTTTTTTTGGCACGTGATTGTCCAGTTGTTCCAGCACTGTTTGTTGAAAAGACTGTCTTTTCTCCATAGAATGTGCCTTATGATATAACTTGGGTGTAAGTTTGTGAAAAATCAGGATATATGTGTTGTTTGTTAAATTAACTGTTTTAAGCCCTTTTGACACCTCACTAGTTTTGTACTGTTTTACCTCTTATTTCCGAAACTCTTTTTATGGTGTATCCTGTTAGAGGGGACAAACATGTCATAGAAAGCAGTTGTGCACTCTTTCAAATATAGTTGATAAATTCAATAATCTTATATATTGAGCTTCGTGTTTATAGTACAGTAAGTGGTCTAGCAAAATTGTCCATGTTTCTTTGTTTATTGATAAATGCATTGTATAGAAACTATTTCCCCTAAATATTTATGGACCAAACAATTGTGATATATCCTATTAAATTTGTATGAATAAACCATTTTGAATCTAAAAAAAAAAAAAGATCTTTGTTCCTTTGTCAAAGATCAGTTGGCTATAGTTATGTCTGCTTCTGGGCTCTTTATTCTATTCCATTGATCTACTTGTCTCTTTTTTTTGCCTATACGACACTGTCTCGATTACCTACCGTTATAGTAAGTATTGAAGTCAGGTAGCACCAGGCCTCCAACTTTGTTCTTCTTCAGTATTGTGTTGGCTATTCTGGGTCTTTTCCTCCCTGTATGAGCTTTAGATCAGTTTAGTCAATATCCACAAAATACCTTGCTGGGATTTTGATTGGGATTGCATGGAATCTATATATCAAGTTGGGAAGGAGTGACGTCTTGACAATATTGAGTCTTCTTCTTCATAAATATGGAATGTCTTCATTTATTTAGTTCTTTGATTTCTTTCATCAGTGTTTGTAGTTTCCCTCATATAGATCTTATATTTATTTTGTTAAATACATACCTAAGTATTTCATTTTTTGGTGCTAATTTAAATGTATTTTGTTTTTAATATCAGATGCAGATCTACATAAGGCAACATTCTCTAATAAAAAATAGATAAGAAGTAGATAAGAAACTCAGACTCAGGTAGATTCAAATAAGACTTGAAATGAGCTTTATTCCATGTTTGGTTCTTTGTATCCTTCAGCCTCAAGAGTAGCTTTCTTTTTTTCAAGCTCAGTGTTTATCCATCAGGTCCACAGTAAATAAAATAAGTGTAATCAAAATAATTTACCACTTGCCATTCACTAATGTTGTCTGTTTGAATAGGGGTTTTCATATTACATGTTTCTATTTCCCTAGGAATTCTGTCCTTACCATGAGCCATATCTTTCTTACTCACTTCTGTATCAAGCATGAGGTAAGCAAATTGACATTTCTAATATAATGAAAGATCGAGAAATATACGCAATTTACCAGAGTTCGGAGTCACAGCTATTAAATGCTATATTGCCAGGTTGTTTATTGTTAATGTATTTACACTATCTCTTGGGCATACATAAAATAGAGAATGAGGATGAAAGATAGTGTATATGTGAATAACCAAATGTAGAGACAGAGTAGAATTTTTACAGATCAAGATTGCCTTTTCCCCTTACCCCTCCACAGCAGATGGAGTTCCTATAGAGAGGGCAGTTTTTATTTTTCATCTTATCTTAAATGTCTAATTCTTTATCTCTTGATAGAGATGGGTTTGGCATTAAGAGTAATAACAATATTTTTTCTAGCATCCAATATCCTTTCTCATCAATTATCTCAGTAAAGTTTACTTTGCAGTTGTATTCCCTTCACTCTCTACATATCCCTGGCAGTCTCTAATCTGGACTTTGGTTCAAAGCTGGAAAGAAATCTACTCATGAAAACCTTTTCTCTATAATATGTAACATGTGGATTTCTTGGCTTATACAGAAACTTCAAGAAGGCATGATTCTTTAGTAATATACCATAGAGAATATGTTCCTTAAAGCATACTTTAAGATAAAAATAATTTAATTATGTAATTATGGATGGAGAAAGAGCTCAATGTGGTTAGCCTGGCTCTAACTGTAATAATATGATTTTCACGGAATTGGCATAGTTTACGAACTGAGACCACAAATATTGGATTGCTCATCATAGGTGGGCTTTCTGTAAGATTTTAATCATGAATATCCAATGACTGCATCAAATATCAATTAAGTTTGAAATCAAACATGGCTGTGCTTCCCCATAGTAAGTACAGTTTAAAGGGAGATCATGTTTGATTCATGGTAAATCTCTGGCAAAATTCTAAAGCTACTTGCTGGCCCATTTTTCATCTTTGGTAGTTGGAAATGTATTTTGCCAATGTGAGAAGTTACTCAATCTCATTGGTTTGGGGATTTGATCCAAATCCAGAAGACATTTAGTTTTTTATATTGTTTACACTTAGCAAAGCACAATATTCAGTTTCTACAAAAAAAAATATATGGACTTAGAACGCCCGCTCAACAAACGAACACATAAATACTTGAAAGATCTGTGTAATCAAGAAAGAAAGAAAAGAGCCCTGTAAAACTTTTTGGTGTATGAAGTATATGTAACTTTAAAATTCAAAGGTTTGGTTTCCCTTAATTATATGCCTACATTACTTAAAAAATCACAGGGAAAAAATATATTGGAAAAATAAGTTTGAGATTTTATTTCAACTATATTATTTATAAAATAATTCATGAAGACTTATGACTTCAAAACATACAGCAATGCAATCCTTTTCTAATTCATGTAAAACAAATGGCAATGTTTTAAGCATGTCTGTCTTTCATAATATTATGCATGTTTTCCCTCCCCATAAAACTTCAACTCATGTAGAACAGCGTTTTTAACTAATGAAATTGCAGTCATCTAAACAAATTGAGACAACTACAAAGTAAAAACTATAAACTATAAACTAACTGAATGGATAAATTGTTTTCACTTGACATTATTTCACTAGGCTTACACTGCTCAAGCCTGTGTTTGTAAGGAAGGAGAATTTAATGAAGAAATTCTTTCTTCTTGCTCAAAGATAATACGATTGGAAAGTAGCTAAGGAATAATCAGTCATCTGATTTGAAGCAGTCAGAGCTGCTTTGAAAATTATCAATCTTTTTAGTGAAAAGCGGTGCCTTTAAGTATTTATCTCTTTTTGTTGTTGTTGTTTGTAAAATACCAACACACCATTTTTATGGTTAATAAAATAGAATTAATAATAATAGCACCAGGTCTAATGTGAACCACAGCAGAAGCATACAGGGCAATAACCCTTCTTTTTTGTACACTTATGTTGTTCAATCCCATCTCAATAAATATGCCTTATTGAAACTTCACCTCCTTTTAAATATTGCTTTCTACAGTTCATTTCCAGAGAGTTATATACACTTTTTCTAATCAATAGAAAAAATAGGGGTATAACTTTTTTCCATCCCTATCTTTTCATTTGCTTTGGAAGATTCCTCTTGTGACCCAATATGCTAAAGTAGCTTTTAATGCTGATCTGCTTAAAATCTAAATACTTTAAAGCTTGAGTGATATTTAAAATAAATAATTTTGTGAATTTCTTAGATAGTGGAGAAAAATGAGGTGAAGGATTAGCATTCCAAATTTATATCAAACTGCCAATGAAAACCACAAGGCCTTCTCAAAACTCTCCCTCCTTCTCCATGATTAAGGTAAGATCGCTGACCTGTTAGTTCAGTTCTGTTTTTACTTTTGGCATTGTCTTAATTGATAAATTGCACAACAGTGTTGTCATGCAAGACTTCCAGGAGTACATCTGTTTCTAATGTATGGTACGTAATTTAATGACGAGACACTTCAGTAGTCTACCCACTGCAAATCTCAGTTGTTAAATATGTCTGGAGCAAGACATCTTTAAATAGTAGGCACTTTTTTGGTACATTAATTTTTTCACACTCAGAAGCAGAAAATGTAATTCTAACTGTCTACTTTGTGTAAAGCTCTGTTTACTTTAAAATGCTTTTTACAGCCTAAATGTCTTGTTCAAACTGATTAACTATAGTGGGATTTAAAACTTTTCTAAAACCTATTTATTATGGTTAATGTTTTTAGAATTTTTTTCTTTCCCTTCAGACCATGGTTTAGGAAATCTATCTAATTGGCAATAAAACGCAGGGCTCTCAAGGCAAATCTTGAAAAAGATAAACCGACAGTATTCCAGAAGACACTGAAATTTAAAATGTAAGCCACAACTTGGTGTAGAGCTACAAGTATAATCATAGAATGTAAACACTCCTTCTCTAAGAGATTAGGAATGGAGAGCCAAAGTCGGAACAACCATCCTCAGACCACAATGCCCCAGTGGTTACCAAACAGAATCTTCATTTACGATTCAACCAGGCTAACCACATGCTTGCTAAGTAGCTTGGTTTCCAACAAATCTTTTACAGTGCGCAAGATCTAATTATGTGTGGTTAAATGTGGTTATCCTGTTTAGAACTTGTCTGACCAGTATTTCAAAGAGATAACAAATGTTGATGATAATCCCATGTTTTACCAGGAGGGTAAGGAAAACTTACCTCACTAAAGAAACACTAGTAGAAGAACTTTTATTAAAATTGTACTATTAACAGACTCCATTTTCAGTTATGGAGTGATGTACCTTGAAACAATCAAACTTTCATTTAGAATATCTTCATTTAGAATGCCAAATAACTCCTGCAGTTTAGTTTAATACTATCTTATTTGGAGTCAAAAAAATTATTTCCCGGGGCGCCTGGGTGGCTCAGTTGGTTGAGTGTCTGCCTTCGGCTCAGGTCATGAGCCTGATTCTCCCTCTCCCTCTGCCCCTCCACTCTGCTTGTGCTCTCTCTTTCTCTTTCTCTCTCGCTCTCTCGCTCTATTTCAAATAAATAAATAAAATCTTAAAAAATTATTTCCCAGTGAGATCTTATTCTCTTTACAATAGGTAATCATGGGATACATAGGGACATTCCAGCATAATGTGATGTGAAGAGTTTGAAAAGAACTTTAAAATTAATGACTTTTTATAATTGTGACATAATCTTACAAGGGAAGTTTTAGAACTTCTAATCTTTGAGTTATTGAAGCCTATCACAATCAGAGGTTTCTCAAGAGAAGTTATGGAGATGACAGATGAAATTACTTTAAAAATTCATTTTGTAGTTCTAATTATTTCTCTCATTCAGTCTCTAACTCTTGTTTTGAAGGGCATTGGAAAGATATTCCCCATATATTGTTGCTTCCCAAATACTTGGAATAATTTTTCCCCAGCCAGATCTCCCCCGACAACTTAATATCACCTTATCTCCTCTCCCTGACTCCCAACTACTATGTATGCAGAATATACAGACAAAATTTTAATATAAGACTTTTTACCTCAGAAACTGAATTTTGCTAGGAAAAGGCATAACACATTTTTCAATGAAATTTAGATTATTTTTCAAAGTATCTTCTTATTTGGATAGCTGCTATAAAAATAACTACATGTAAAGGAATTTGGATTGACTATTTTTACTTTAAAACTCAATCCAACAGATAATTGTTGATTATCTATTATGTGTGGGGCACTTTCATAGGTTTTAGGATACATATGCAAAGAAAACAGACCAAGAAGAATTTCTTGCCATATTTTAGTGGGGAGACAGAAACCAAACAATAAACATAATAAGAAACTGTAGAATAAGCAAGAAAATGATAAGCACTATGTACCAAAAAGAAGGAGGAGGAAGAGGAGGAGGAGGGAAGGAAAGGAGGAGGAGAAAGAAGGAAGAAAGAAGAAGGAAGGAAGGAAGGAAGGAAGGAAGAAAAAGAAAGAAAGAAAAACAGAGAATGGGAAGCCAAGAGTGTAGGTCTGGGAAAGCAGGATGCAGGCTGCGGTATAAAACAGAGGGAACAAGGCAGACTTTATTGAGAAAGCGAAATTTATGAAAAGATTTGAAAGAGATGCTGGAGTTCTCCAAATGATTATGTTTGGGGAAAGACATTTTTCAGGTGGAGGGAAAACCTGAGTAATACACAGAAGAAAGGAGAAGAAAATAACAATGACAGGGAAGTCAGGGGGCCCTGCGGACTGCTGAGAGGACAGGGTGGTTATGGTGGAGCTTGCAGGCATATCACTGGGGTCATTAAACATATTTAAAAACTCTGACTTTTTCTCTGAATAAAATGGGGAGCAATTGCTGGTTGTAGAGCAGAGGAGGGGTATAATATGACTCACATTTTCAAAAGAGGCTGTTGTGTAGAGAAGAGACTGTTGGCAAACAAGTGTGAAAACAGGGAGCCTAGTGGATGTGGGCTGTTGTGTAATTCAGGTGGGAAATAGTGGTTCAAACCAGAGAGATGGCCATGGAGGTGGTGGGAAGTGGTCATATCCAGGATATACATTAAAGGCAGACCCAACAGAATTTCCTGGTGGATTAGATATGGGCTGAAATTCCTGCAAGGATTTTGAATTGAACAACTAGAATATAGTTGGCATCAACTGAGTTGAGTTGGAGAAGGCTGTGGGTGGGTGCAGTCTAGAAGGCACAGATAATGGGAGCTCATGCTTGAACATACTAAATTTGAGATAATCTATTTGACATCCTAGAATGAATTTGAGGTAAACAGTTGGATAATGTGTCCTGGAGTTTTGTACAGATATTGGGCTAAATTTGGGTGCCGTCAGCATGTAGATGGTATTTAGATCATGTACTTGGATGAGATCTTTAAGTGAGAGAGTGTAAGGAAAGAATAAGATCATGAAGGATTAAGCCCAAGGGCACAGCAATGAGAAGCCAGCAGAGACTGGAAAAAGTAAGGTGGGAGGAAAAGTAAAGTGTATGGTGACTTAGAGTCCAAATGAGGCAAGCCCAATGAGGAAGATGGACGATCAACACTGGCAAATGGTACTGTGAGGTCAAGTAACACGAGACCTCAAAAACTGACCATCAGTCTAGCAGTGTAGAGGTTATGGGTAAGCTCAACATATCACTTTTTGGCAGAGTATGGGAGCAAAAGCCCAACTTGAGTAGATTTAAGAAACTATGAAAAAATGGAAATTGGAGACAGCACATAGAAACCTGTCTTCCAAAGAGTTTTACTATAGAGTGGTAGCTGGCGGGGGACATATGGTTAAGAGAAATTCTGCTTACAATGAGAGGAATAATAGCACAACAAGTTAGGAAGAGAAGAAAAATATTAAAACAGGAGAAAAAAAGAGAGAATTGATGGAGAAGTGTCTCTGAGTAGACACAGGTGGTTGGTATGTAATCCACAAGTTGAGGGACGGTATCTAGATAGAAACATGGGCGAAATGGGGTGCCTGGGTGGCTCAGTCATTAAGCGTCTGCCTTCGGCTTGGGTCATGATCCCAGGGTCCTGGGATTGAGCTCCGCGTCAGGCTCCCTGCTCCATGGGGAGCCTGCTTCTCCCTCTCCCACTCCCCCTGCTTGTGTTCCCTCTCTCGCTGTTGCTCTCTGTCAAATCAATAAATAAAATCTTAAAAAAAAAAGAAAGAAAGAAACATGGGAGGAAAAGCATACAGATGTAGGCTCTGGTAGGTGGGGCATATGGTGGTGGTTGCTAACAGAAATTCTCTTCAGATTGCTTTCAATGTGGAGAATGAGCACAGGAAAGGAGGTTTTAACACAAGAGGATAAGGTATTAAACAGTTTTTGTAGAAACTAGAAGAATGAATGAAATTGAGGTGTGTCTTACAACTGCCTAACAACCTGCTTTGAACATTATTGAAGAAGTTACCACTAGCCTAAGAAAATCTATTCTCAAGATCAGACAGCTGTAGGAAGCCTGACACTACTATAGCATGACAATCTGCATCCTACTTATTTCTATTTTATTATAGAACATTTCAAATATACAAAGTAGAGGAAATAGTATAATAAATGCTTATGTATCCATCATCCAGTTATAATAGTTATCAACCTAAGGTCAATCATCATTCATTAGTTAACTATACTTTCTCCTTCTCCTTGAGTATTTTAAAACCACACATATATATTTATATGTGTATATAAAATACTTCATGCTCTGTATCATTTTATTTCATCTGTAAACATTTCAGAATATATCTCTAGATGTCAGGCACTTGTTTTTATAAACATGTCATTATCACACCTAAAATATAAAAACATAATTCTTTATCATTGAATATCACTCATTGTTTATATTCCCCCAATTTGTTTGCTTGAATTGGAATCCAAATAAGATCATAACTTTGCAATCGGATGATTTGTTTTTCAAATATCTTCAAGTATATGGTTTTCCATCCATCTAATTACATCTCTTCACAATTTTTTTTGGTTATTATCATTTAAGAAACTGGATCATTCTTATAATAGAGTTTGCCACACTTTGGATTTTACTAATTGCATAACCACAGTGTATTTAATATGTTCTTCTGCCCCTTTTATTTTTTTGAATTGATAGTTAGATCTAGTGGTCTGATCATATTTAGGTTTGATTATTTGGGTAATTTGTTTTTATATATCAGGAGTTAGATAATATCAATTGTCTTTCTCTGTTATGGTTTCAGCTATTTAAGATAATCGCCTAGATCCCTTAATTTAATAGGACATACAAAATCTTGACATTCTATCATTTCTTCATTTATTAGCTGAAATAATCCCATATAGGAAAATGTCACCTTGCAAAGTAATTTCTCACCCTGA